TCAGGTCATAACAACTTCTGTTATAAAAATCTAATATGCTGATGATAATGTAATCTGTGCTAATTCAGAGGAAGAACTACAAGCCACTTTAAACAGCTTTGCAGAAGCATATGAGAAGCTTGGATTCTCAGTGAACATTGAGAAAACCAGCAGACATCAACCAATCCCTCTGCAATGGCAGAAATGAAGCTTAACGGTGTAATGCTAAGAAATGTTGACCATTTGTCGGGGGTGCTTTGAATGCAATTTTCATGCTTCTTGGCAGGGGGTTGGACTGGATGGCTATAACGTCTCTTCCAACTCTTCCAACTCTATGATTTTCACTACCTAGCCAGCCACTGATCCACAAAAACCAATATCAACACCGAAGCGCACCATCTGAGCGCTGCGAAAGCAGCTTTTTGAAAAAATGACGCAGCATTTACCATCAGGACATCTGTAGGGATATCAAGATGCTTGTTTATAAAGCTACTGTCCTCCCAACACATTTGTATGCCTGAGAAACATTATACTATTTACTTCTGGAATGATTCCATCAGTGCTGCCTTTGAAAAATCCTGCAGATCTCTTGGGAAAAAGACAGGCAGTCAAATGTCAGTGTTCTGGATGAAGCAAAGACCACCTGTGTTGATGTGATGATCCTCTGCCATCAATTTCACTGGATTGGCCACATTGTTCAAATGCCCAATCACTGTTTTCCAAAGCAGTCCCTTTACTCTCAGCTTAAGAATGGAAAGCAGAATGTCGGTGGACAGCAAAAGACATTTAAAGATGGGCTTAAAGGTAATCTTTAAAAATGTGAAATAAACACAGAGAACCGGGAAGCCCTGACCCTAGAGCATTGTATCTGGAGGTCGGCTGTGACCAGCAGTGCTGTGAAATTCGAAGAGGTACAAATGGAGAGCAAAAGGGAGAAATGTGTCAAAAGGGAGGCACATCAAACAAACCCACTAGAATCCTAAATAGGTCTCTACAGTCACTTACGGACCCATCAAGACTCTACACTTGGAAGATGATCATACTTGGCCACAAGTGATTGCCTATGATCATAAGTGGTGTGATAAAAAAAAAAACATCAATGGAGAGTGGCATCTATTGAGACAGCTGTGCCTTATGGTCTTGTACATGAGCCAACTTCACTTACTGTTGTTCAGTCGCTTCTGACTCTTTGTGACCTCATGGACCAGCCCACGCCAGAGCTCCCTGTCAGCTGTCACTACCCTCACTCCTTCAAGGTCAAGCCGGTCACTTCAAGGATACCATCCATCCATCTTGCCCTTGGTGATCCCCTCTTCATTTTTCTTTTCCCCAGCATCATTGTCTTCTCTAAGCTTTCCTATCTTCTCATGGTGTGGCCAAATTACTTCATCTTTGCCTCTACTATCCTTCCTTCCAATGAGCAGTCGGGCTTTATTTCCTGAAGTATGGATTGTTTGGATCTTCTCACGGTCCAAGGCACTGTCAGAACTTTCCTCCAACATCACAGTTCAAAAGCATCTATCTTCCTTTGCTCCCTATGGTCCAGCTCTCGCATCTGCAGGTTACTTCAGCGAATACCACTGCTTTTACTATGCGGATCTTTGTTGCCAGTGTGATATCTCTACTCTTCACTATTTTATCAAGATTGGTCACTGCTCTCCTCCCAAGAAGTGAGTGTCTTCTGATTTCCAAAGATGTGAGAGGAAGTCATAGGGAGGAGTAGCAAGCTTGTTTTCTGCTGCCTTGGAAACTAGGACACGGAACAATGGCTCCAAACTACAAGAAAGGAGATTCCACCTGAATATGAGGAAGAACTTCCTGACTGTGAGAGCCATTCAACAGTGGAACTCTCTGCCCCAGAGTGTGGTGGAAGCTCCTTCTTTGGAAGCTTTTAAACAGAGGCTGGATGGCCATCTATCAGGGGTGCTTTGAATGCAATATTCCTACTTTTTGGCAGGGGGCTGGGTGGCCCATGAGGTCTCTTCCAACTCTATGACTCTATGAAGACAAGATTGATGAGGCCCCTTCACAAGTTGACCAGGGGACCTCGAGTTCTTTTCTAACCCTGAAAATGTGGCCAAAAGGAACAAAATGGGGCTTCCTAAAACCAGCCCACCCAACCCATCTAAGTGCCAACCTAAGACTTGGTGACAGGCCTGAGGGGGGGGACGGGACTGAGGATCTACCCTAGCAAACCTTTTGTGTCGTTATCCCAATACCCCCATGCATATGGGATATATTGAGCATGGTGATCAGATCATGATATGAATAAACAAAACAGTTTAAATAATGTACCAGTAAGTCTTCTGAATGCCATGACCCCTTCATACACTTCCTCATGTTATCGTGACCCCCAACCATAATTTTTTTTGTTGCTACTTCATAACTGTAATTTTGTTCTTGTTATGAATTGTAAATATCTGATATGCAGAATGTATTTCCATTCACTGGACCAAATTTGACACAAATACCCAAGACACCCAAATTTGAATACTCCACTAATGATAGAATTGGGCCAAACTTCCTACACAGAACCTCCATGACCAACAGAAAATACTGTGCTTTCTGGGTTGTTGTAGGTTTTTCCGGACTATATGGCCATGCTCTAGAGGGATTTTCTCCTGACGTTTCGCCTGCATCTATGGCAAGCATCCTCAGAGGTAGTGAGGTCTGTTGGAAGTAGGAAAATAGGTTTATATATCTGTGGAATGACCAGGGTGGGACAAAGGACTTTTGTCTGCTGGAGCTAGGTGTGAATGTTTCAACTGACCACCTTGATTAGCATGTAATGGCTTGGAAGTGCCTGGGGGAATCTTTTTGAGAGTGATTTGATGTGCCTGATTGTTTACTCTCTGTTGTTTTGCTGTTGTAATTTTTGAGTTTTTTAATACTGGTAGCCAGATTTTGTTCATTTTCATGGTTTCTTCCTTTCTGTTGAAATTGTCCACATGCTTGTGGATTTCAATGGCTTCTCTTTGTAGTCTGACATGGTGGTTGTGAGAGTGGTCCAGCATTTCTGTGTTCTCAAATAATATGCTGTGTCCAGGTTGGTTCATCAGGTGCTCTGCTATGGCTGACTTCTCTGGTTGAAGTAGTCTGCAGTGCCTTTCATGTTCCTTGATTCGTGTTTGCGCGCTGCGTTTGGTGGTCCCTATGTAGACTTGTCCACAGCTGCATGGTACACGGTACACTCCAGCAGAAGAGAGGACCCCTCTTGTCCTTTGCTGAACGTAGCATTTGTTGGATTTCCTTGGTGGGTCTGTAGATAGTTTATATGTTGTATTTCCTCATCAGCTTCCCTATGCGGTCAGTGGTTCCCTTGATGTATGGCAAGAACACTTTTCCTCTGGGTGGGTCCTAGAATCATAGAGTTGGAAGAGACCTCATGGGCCATCCAGTCCAACCCCCTGCCAAGAAGCAGGAATATTGCATTCAAAGCACCCCTGACAGATGGCCATCCAGCCTCTGCTTAAAAGCTTCCAAAGAAGGAGCCTCCACCACACTCCGGGGCAGAGAGTTCCACTGCTGAACGACTCTCACAGTCAGGAAGTTCTGCCTCATGTTCAGATGGAATCTCCTTTCTTGTAGTTTGAAGCCATTGTTCCGCGTCGTAGGCTCCAAGGAAGCAGAAAACAAGCTTGCTCCCTCCTCCCTGTGGCTTCCTCTCACATATTTATAAATGGCTATCATATCTCCTCTCAGCCTTCGCTTCTTCAGGCTAAACATGCCCAGCTCCTTAAGCCGCTCCTCATAGGGCTTGTTCTCCAGACCCTTGATTATTTTAGTCGCCCTCCTCTGGACACATTTCAGCTTGTCAATATCTCTCTTGAATTGTGGTGCCCAGAATTGGACACAATATTCCAGATGTGGTCTAACCAAAGCAGAATAGAGGGGTAGCATTACTTCCCTGGACCTAGACACTATGCTCCTATTGATGCAGGCCAAAATCCCATTGGCTTTTTTTGCCGCCACATCACATTGTTGGCTCATGTTTAACTTGTTGTCCACGAGGACTCCCAAGATGTTTTTCACACGTACTGCTCTCAAACCAAGCATCCCCCTTTCTGTATCTTTGCATTTCGTTTTTCCTGCCAAAGTGGAGTATCTTGCATTTGTCACTGTTGAACTTTACTGTGCAAGTTTGGGCCCATCATCTCTCTAATCTGTCAAGATCGTTTTGAATCCTGCTCCTGTCCTATGGAGTATTGGCTATCCCTCCCAGTTTGGTGTCGTCTGCAAACTTGATGATCCTGCCTTCTAGCCCTTCATCTAAGTCGTTAATAAAGATGTTGAACAGGACCTTCATCTTTACTCTTGTGGCTTCTTGGTCTTGTGTTTTCTGATGGTCCATAGTGACCCCTCTGACACCCCCTCGCGACCCTTCCAGGGGTCCCGACCACCAGGTTGAGAAACGCTGCAGTAAGGCCTTCTTGTGGACCACCCTGAGAATTTCGGGGGAGGGGGGGCTGAAGCCCCTCAAGCCCCCTCCTTGACTATAGGCCTGCTTGATGAAGAAAAAAAAAGTGTGTGCGTGTATATATGTATCCCTTTGGCAGAAATTGGGAACCACTGGAGCAGCCGCGGAGGCAACAACCGAGTCGTTTTCCCCCCCTCAGGAGCGTGGTCGGGGGGGGCGAAGACGCTTGGCGGGAGACGCTTAAGTTTCACGCAGGCGGGCTTTAGAGGCGTACTGTGCCTTGGAGGGGCGTGGAGTCTAAACGCATCCTTAGAGGAGGAGGAGAAAAGGCAGCCCCGCCGAGGCGGGCAAGCAGGCGGGCGACGGTTGCTGGGCGTCTCGAGGCGTTCGCTTCCCTTTCGTCCTTCACAGACAGACAGACAGGCAGGCGCGCGCTCCCCCCGCTCCCTGCTCTGTGAGGGGGCCTTCAGCGCGAGGGAGGGAGGAAAGGAGGGCGGGGCGTGAAGCGCGAGGCGCCCGCGCGCTCTCTTCTCTGCTTGGGCGGGATTGGCTGGAGGAAAGGGGAGGGGGCTTCCCTTGAGAGCGCGCAAGGCGGCGCCTCCTCCTCCTCCTCAGCCTCCCGACCCCTCACGAGCTCTGTGTGTGTGTGCGCGCGCGCGCACGCCCCTCCCTCCGCCCAGAGCGCGCTCCCGCCAGCTCGCCGCTTCTTCCGATTCCTCGCTTCCTCCCTTCTCCATCCATCTTCCGTGAGTCGGTGGCGGTTTCCGCGGCGTCTCTTTGTGGAGGCGAAAGGCAAGCGGAGGAAGGGGAGGGGGGGAGGCTCGCCCTGCGGAACAGCCTCGAGGCTGCCGGCCTCCCTCCCTGGAGCAAGGGCGGCCAGGCGCCCCTCCCTTGGCTTCCCCAGGCGCCCCTCCTCCCCTCAGCGCTTGGGCTCCTCGCCGAGGCGGAATTCGCCCATTTCTCAGGAGCAAAGACATTTCCCGGGTTTTTGGAGGGAGGGAGGGGGGTCCTCCGGCAGCCCCCTCACCTGCAGGGAGCGGAGAGCCATCTCCTCCCCAAGGCCTCGCCCTCATTGTCTTCCCTCACGTTTAACATCCTGCGTGGCGTTTGGTGAACGTGCCTCATCCTCATCAAGGGCAGCCCGCCATATCTTCCGAAATCCATCCGGCGTGGAAGGGGACGGGACGGGAAGAGACGCCAGGTTCGTGACTCGCTGCAACGCCGCCCTTTCCCCCCTCTTCCTTCCTTCCTTCCTTCCTTCCTTCCTTCCTTCCTTCCTTCCTTCCTTCCTTCCCTCCTTCCCTCCTTCCCTCCTTCCCTCTTCCTTTCCTTGGTGGCGCACGTGCCCGCATTATTTCCGTATTCTTTGTCTGGGCGCATCTGCTCGTGCAAACGACGTGCAGGGAAAGCTGCCGTGTGGGAAGCTGCTAGGTTTCGAGCTCTTTCTGCCATGCGTGGTCTTAAAACAAAGCCCCTGCCTTCACTTCGACGTTATCTGGCATTCGCAGTGTGTGCAACAACAGGCGATATGGTCTTGCAAGGGTGCAGCAGCATCTTCTATCTATATAAATAAAAATAGACCTCACTGCCTCTGAGGATGCTTGCCATAGATGCAGGCGAAACGTCAGGAGAAAATGCCTCTAGAACATGGCCATATAGCCTGAAAAAAACCCCCAAGAACCTAGTGATTGCAGCCATGAAAGCCTTCGACAATACAATGTAATGTTCGTTTTACATTGGGATTAACAGAACTCAAAAACCGTTCGTTTGTGGGATTAACAGAACTCAAAAACCACTGGACGAATTGGCACCAAATTTGGACACAGTACACCTATGAGGCCAACGAGTGACCACCACTCATGAAAACACAGAAAAACATAGTGGGAGAGACTTAAAATTAAAAACTACATTATAACACATGTGTTTTTTTTGTCATGTCAGGAGTGACTTGAGAAACTGCAAGTTGTTTCTTTTGTCAGAGAATTGGCCGTCTGCAAGGATGTTTTTATCATCCTTGTGGGAGGCTTCTCTCATGTCCCCGCATGAGGAGCTGGAGCTGAGAGAGGGAGCTCATCCGCCTCTCCCCGGATTCACATGTGCTAACACGTGCTGGGAGCCCCCGGTGGCGCAGTGGGTTAAAGCACTGAGCTGCTGAGCTTGTTGATCGAAAGGTCGCAGGTTCGATTCCGGGGAGCGGCGTGAGCTTCCGCTGTTAGCCCTAGCTTCTGCCAACCTAGCAGTTCGAAAACATGCAAATGTGAGTAGATCAATAGGTACCGCTCCGGCGGGAAGGTAACGGCGCTCCATGCAGTCATGCCGGCCACATGACCTTGGAGGTGTCTATGGACAACGCTGGCTCTTCGGCTTAGAAATGGAGATGAGCACCACACCCCAGAGTCAGACATGACGGGACTTAATGCCAGGGGACTACCTTTACCTTTAACACATGTGCTAAGTCACATATATACATACATACACAAAACACATAGACTGGTCTACAGCAACACATAGCAGGGGATGGCTAGTACATACACACACACACAGCTGCACCTTTGCAAGGTTTTCCTGTGAATATCGCGTTTTGTTGTAATGCAGTGTTTCTCAACCTTCCTAATGCTGCAACCTCTTAATACAATTCTTTATGTCAGTGGTTCTCAACCTGTGGGTCCCCAGATGTTTTGGCCTTCAACTCCCAGAAATCCTAGCAGCAGGTAAACTGGCTGGGATTTCTGGGAGTTGTAGGCCAAACCACTGCTTTATGTTGTGGTGACCCCCCCCCCCACCATAAAATTATTTTCGTTGCTACTTCATAACTGTAATTTTGCTACTGTTGTGAATTGTAATGTAAATCTCTGACATGCAGGATGTATTCTCATTCACTGGACCAAATTTGGCACATATACCCGATATGACCAAATTTGAATAATAATAACAATAATAATAATACTCTTTATTTATAACCCGCTACCATCTCCCCAAAGGGGACTAAGACAACCAGATACTAATTAGTCAACAGCTGCCCTCAGAATAAAGCATCTCCCCCCGCCCAAAACGGCCAAATCCCAAGGTTCCTCCCTGTTGGGCTCCTTTCCTACAAATGCACTTTTATCCCTATCTCACCCAGGGTTTTAACTTTTTTAATATTTTACCTCATATATTTGGCCATCTCTCCATCTTCTATTGTGTTTGTATTCAAGACTTACACCAGATGCATTTAAGCTACAGTCCCATCTTTTCCCTGTGAAGTAGCCTTAGTGTGAGATGGCCTTTGGCTTCAGCTGCACAAGTATGCGTTCACGTTTTAAATAGACTCTTGTTTTGCTTTTGTTATGTTTAATTATGTGATTTTTTTAACCAGGTGGGTTTTAAGTGCAGTAACTTAACCTGGATTTCTTTTTCCTAGGTATTGGTGATGCCAGTTGCAGCTTTTGTGCTGAAGAAGCAGAAACATACATTTTCACTTAACATTCTCAGTATTTGAGATACTGCTTCCCTTCCCCCCCCAAATCTTCACTTCCTTGGAAAGAGCAAGAATAATAATCTCCCAGGCCAATTTATTGTAGTCTTCGGGACAGCAGCTATTGGCCATTGATCAGTTGGGGCACCAGAAGACTGCAATTCATATGCCATCTTACTTCTGTGGAGTCTCTGCAGCCATATCACTCTTGAAGACCTAGAAGGTGCAGAGAGGACTTGATTGCATCCCCAGAGATTGCTAAAAGAGGCAAAAAAGAAGGTTCCAGAAATACCCCTCTTCCCAGGGGAATTGAAGCATCACACTTGCTTTCCCCAACTCCCAAGTGTGGTAAGTTAGAGTACTATCACTCACAGGTTCACTGCACATTCCCCACCTCCATTATCTTGTGAAGAGGCATGGTTGGGTGTTTAGAGGGGAGTAGGGGGGTGTGCCTGCTTGTCCATACATGTACTACATGAGAGGTGCATTTGTATTGAGGGTATATACTGTAGATATACAAATAGATGGCACTTATAAAATGAGTACCACAGCACAAGGGATGAAGACTTATTAGATGTGGAATGATTTTGATTTTTCATAGAAATGCAGCCTGATATGGCCTTAGTTGTTTAAGGGACACATAGTAGTATTGTGCCTGCAGCTGGGTGAAAGAAATAGACTGGGGTTTCTCCTATAAGACCTAGAAATACAACAGGGAAGTGACATAAAGGTTAAGCATTTTTGCATTCCCTCATTGGCCAAGTGAAATATTTCTTTCCTGCCAGACTGTGGCGTCCTTTGCAAATGTAAAGTGAAGAGAGTCAGGAAATGTAATGCTTTCAAAGATCACCTGGCTGCAGTGGTTTTCTGTCATAGGATATGGAGGGAGAAAAAGTGAACACACTATGCTGTTATTGTTCAGTTTGTCTTGTTCGTTTGAATGCTTGCTTGGTTCCAGGTGATTTTAAAATTCATTTTTCAGGACATTGAACCAGTGTTTGCTTTATTGAGCATAGAGAACACTTTTTAAATGGCAACATAATGTAAGGAATAATGTGAGGTATGATTTGGGGTATTAAAACTACACTTTAGTTTATTCCTTATTCAAAATGCTTAGGACAAAAAATGCTTTGGATTTTGGAATACCTTTATATGTCACATGTACATAATAAGATCCCTCAGAGAGGAACTAAATTGTAAACATAAAATTATACACCTTAGCCTAAAGATAACTTTATACAATATTTTAAATGCCGTAATTTTGTGCATGAAACAAAGTTTGTGGACATTGAACCATGAGAAAGCAAGGATATCACTATCACAGCTTCCCATGTGAATATTTTCAGGGTTTGGTGTACAATATTTGGCATTCCAGATATGAGTTACTCTGCTTCTGAGGAAAATAAAAAAGCAGATTACAAATGTAAAAAAGCAGTCTTAGGACAGTCAGTATGAATATTTGCTAAATGATAATCTTTTTTGTTACATGCCTCTCATGGCTTGGTACAAGACAGATAAAGCACACAGATAAAACACAATGCTATTTAAAATACATAGAACGAAGACTGAAACACCAATATTAATGAAATGTAAAGTTAAAAGTCATAATTCAAATTTGATTTGGTAGACCTGTCAGAAGAGATAGGTTTTTAACTGTGTCTTAAATTTGACAACTTGTTTAGCTGGTGTGTCTCTTCTGGCAAGTCATTTCACAGTCTTGGTGAAGCTGATGAAAAGGTCCTCTGGGTGACAGTTGCCGTTGGGTTCTGGGTGGTTGCTGTTTCACATCCTCCAGAAGACCCCAGTGTCCTACAATCCTGTAGGTAACCTGACATCTTTGTCCAGAAATGAATTGGCAAGCAGTGACATGATTTTAGTATGAATGTAATATCCTTTCTTTTAGATGTTTTTGTTCCTGAATGCATCTGAGAGCTCTAAAAGCACAAACAGGTACACAATTCCCATCAGTGTTAAGATGCAGATAATCCTCTAAGGCAACCATAGTAGACACAACTCCATATCCTGTTCTGAAGACAGTTTAAAATGGGTCAAGAAAGTGTGTGTCATCCAAGACATGGCAACTGCCATCTCAAATCACCTTGACCAAAAGGGAAGAGTCTATAATGATAAAGATATTTATATTTTTCTGATGAGGTGTTGAGTGCAAGATACCTTCCCACAGCTGCCTTAATGAGCACTAGAGTATACCAGAAGATTTCCAGATTGGTCTGTGGTAGCAATCATATATAATGTGACATTTTAGATCTGCTATTTGCTTGTAGTATGAGCTTTGGCTTGGCAGCTGTTTTTTCATTGGTATGTTCACATTCACTTTCCTCTTCAGAAATATTGTCCTCCACTTAAGTCATAATTTTTGCAACACATACAAGAACACACCCCTCATATATTTTATCCCAGGATGACTAAAACTTACTGGTTGCAAACTTTCAAGAGATTCAGATTTGAATTCCTAGCTTACCTGTTACATTGTTGATGAGTGTTGGGGAGGAATCACAGTACAGGTAGATGGAATATGGAATACTTAATCCTTTTATGGGATTGTATCGTTTTGAATAGGTATCCTTGACAGCAAGATCTGCAATATATTAAGGACTAGCTTGGGTATCCGGCATTGCCCGGGTTATTAAAAGAAGTCATTTTTTTATTTTTCAGAATGCCTAAGTGTACTCACATCATGCTAGATTAACTCCCTGAAACTCCATCAATTCTTAAAAGTTTGTCATGCACCAATGCTGTATTTAGATCAGTCATGGTCAAACTTTGGCTTTCCAGGTGTTTTGAACTTAAACTCCCACAATTCTTAACAGCCTACCAGCTGTTAAGAATTGTGGGAGTTGAAGTCTAAAACACCTGGAGGATTGAAATTTGCCCATGACTGCTCTAAATACAGCATCAGGGCAGTTCATTTTGCTCTCCAGCTGCAGAATGAATTACAACTCCCACGATGGTGGGTCAGTCCCATCAAATCCAAGTTAGGTCCAAAGCCATTGTTGGTGGGGTTCAGAGTGCTCTTTGATTGCAGGTGAACTATAATCCCAGTTCCTACAACTCCTATAATTTATTTATTTATTTATTTACGACATTTATATGCCACCCTTCTCACCCTAAAGGACTCAGAGCGGCTTACAAGGTAGATATTACATACAATATATTATATTATTAGCATAGTACAATATCAGCATTAAACATTGCTACATTGCACCATACCACTATTACGTAATATTATTAGTAATATTTCATGTAATATAAATATATAATTATAATATATTATTATTATATTGCAATACATTATAATATTATAAATATTATATGTATATACAATATATTATATTATATTATTAGAATAGCACAGGAGACAAGGTGGAAGTCCCCTGACCCCCTCTGTCTTCACTCTGGCCCAGAGTGACAGTTGGTGCTGGGGAGAGGGGTCTCCAGCTGATGGCAAATCAAGGTGAATCCCCCCCCCCCCCAAACATCTCCAATATTTTTCTTTGGTCACCGGGGTTCTGTGTGTCAAATGTGATCCAGGTCCATTGTCAGTGGGGATCGCAGTGCTCCTGACTTGATGCAGGGTGAACTACAACTTCCATTATGTGGAGTCAATCCCCCAACCTCCTCCAGTATGTTTAGTTGCTGATTAGTTATGCTCTTTTTGTTGTGCAGACAGAATTGGAAAGTATAGGATCGGGTTAAGGGCGAGGGAGTGGGCGGGATCATGCAAATTCCACACCAATGGAGAGAGTAAGAAACACTGGGATATCTATGGTGGAGGAAACATGTAAAATCTAGGGTGAAATGGTTCCCGAATGAAAGTGTTCCTTGGGTGATGGGCAGTATGGTCTTTGGGAAGAAAATTGGCATGGTTGGATTACATGTTCATGGCACTCACTATAACCTGAAATGTCATTGGAGAGAATGCTTTTGGTGGCTCTTCAGCGCTGTGTGTTAAAGCTGTCTGTGGAAGTGGAAGCCTACTTGTGGAAGTGGGCACCCCAGCCACACACATACATTCAGTTTTATTATGTGTATAGATAGATAGGCAAGGTGTGCATTTATCTGTTAAGGAAGTCTGAGCGTGGTCCTTCTTTAAAGTGTTTCTGTAAGTGGATAGAATTGATGCAAAATTACTTCTCAGATAGTAGCATAAGTATACATTCAGAAAACCCTTCCCTAATATTAAAAACATGTTTAAACTTGAACAGACTAGGATTGAAACACTTATGATCATTCTAGGTACAGTATGGTGGTATCAGAATGGGGTATAATTATGCAACATTTTGAGGAGGCACTTTCTTGTGACCATAACAAAATTGGTAGATGGCTTTATCAATATAGCAGCCAAGGCCGTAAGAACAGGATGAAATTCACTGAAGGGCATGGATTCCTCCCAGTTGTTTAGGAGGTATGGTAAATTGAAGCTCTCTGAATAGAATTTGTACTTGCACTATTTAAAAAGTCAAAATACATTGCAAGCGTTATTACGATTATTTTTATACATAAGTTATTATAGACTTGTGGGTATTATTCCCAATTGATTTTTCTTTGTTACCTTCATTTGTTCAGTAGTGTAACAAAAGTGGTTACCTCAGAAGATGAGTAAAACTGAAAGAGTGCCCTATAATAGTAGTGCTGTGGAACTCAACAGCCCAAGTGGATCTGCAGCAAATATTTCAAAACAGATAAGGAGGCAATCACAGAGCAAGCCAAACCATAGGTTACAAGGTTCACAGTCAAATAGGTATTTCGAAAATATTTTTATATGTAAAATATTCCCCAAGACATAGGAGAGAAATGTGTTCATGTACTACAGTCATCAGGATTCCCTCCTTACAATAAGTACCTCTTTTCTGTGAGCATTTGCGGTAGTTCTCCATTTTCTAACACACACATATATGCATGATTCTTCCCAACTTCTACCATTCTCAGCTGTGGCGAGTGCTGGATGGTCTGTGATTAGTATTGCATCAGTTGAGAAACATGCTTCACCGGAGCACAGTCCAACCATCAAATAAACTCTGGTTCCTTTGCATTAAATAAAAATGAGAATTTACAGCCAGAATGTTAGGAATAGGACATAGGTTTTGCGCCATTCATTAAAAGTGCATATTCTTTAAATTTTAACACTATTTAAACCTTAATAGCCGAGTTGTTTGGGGTGGGCAAAAGAAGTGATCTTCACTACTCAGTATGTGAAGATACACATTTCCCTTGCTCTATTATTATTATTATTATTATTATTATTATTATTATTATTATGTTCATTTATATCCCACCTTTTCTCTCCACAGGGAGAGTTTTGCAATGGAATTTTCTCATATTCTGCAAGAATATTCTCCCAACAATTAGACCAACAGTTTGACAGATTGTCATAAAGGATACAAATAAACCTAAGCACCTCAAACTAAGAAGCCAAGCAGTTTTCTGTTGTATGGGTTGTCACATGAACTGGAAATAGAACTCGGGGCTAGGCCTTTGCATGTAGAAGTCTATTCATTTTCAGGAGCTTCCACTATAGAGGAGTAATGGAATTAATTGTAGCTCTGGACATACATATATGCTAATTCTTTTCTTTCTTTCTTTTTAATTTTTTAGGCATTTGCTTCAAAGGAGACCTAGTATCTGTTGGGACTCGTTCAAGATGTGTAGCTCTGTTGCTCCTAGGATCTGGTTTTTAACAGATCGTCGTATCAGAGAAGACTATCCTCAACAAGAAATCTTACGGGCCCTCAAAGCCAAGTGTTGTGAAGAGGATCTGGAATTCCGAGCCTTGGTGATAGATGAAGTAGTCTTGACCATTGAGCAAGGAAACTTGGGTAAGAGTAAAGGTGGTATGGAATAAGTGATAATATTTGTATGGATGTAAGGATAGTTGGTTATTGTTGATTAGTCTTGCATTAGAAAAATTATTTTGTGTCCTTTTTGACAATATTTCTGGATCACAATTAGAATGTAAGCAAGAAGCAAAATACTGCTGGACCATCCAGTACCACGTGATTTGATTTTTGCCAGAACCCACTTCTGACACTACAAACTTGTACCATGTTGTATTATGTATTTGAGTCATGCTGCATTATTAAAATATGCAGTTCGTTCCCTAAAGGAAATTTTAGTACAGATGAACAAATGAGAACTTATTTACAAGTCTGATAACTTATGCTGTCTGAGAAGAGACCCAAACAATGCAATGAAGTTCCATTTCATCTCCATTTGGAATTTGCTAGGGAGGTGTACAACATATGTAATTTTACTTGGATGGGTAGCCAGATTCATTAATTTCATATGACTTTGGCTTTTAATCTTAATTATCCAAGACATTGATAGAGTGATTCAGGCTAAACACTTGGGATCAGTGTTAACTGCTTCTAATGGGATTATTGAACTTAAATGTGAGATTTGCCTTGTCACATGGTTATGAGGGACAAAGTACTTTCTTCCTACTCCATAGGTTCTGAGTATGTGTCCAAAGAATAAATATTCAACAACATTAAGGCTTGTCTGTATGATAGCTTAATTTTACATTTGCCAAATGCTGTAGCTAGTGATGATAATTGACACTTGATTTTTACCTGATGAGGAATGCGAGTTTGTTCAGCTGATAGTACTAAGATATATTCTAGTGCTGTTCATTACCTCAGAGTGTTGCTTTTGGGCATATGCTTCTGTCTCTGTCCGTACTTAGAAAGAATTGGTTTAGAGTTAGAGTAAACTGGTATTAAAAAGCTGTAATCATGTTGCTAACAACATGTATTTGATACAAAGCCATCCCTTTGATTATTGTGGATTTTTCTTCTCATTTCTGTACATAGTTATCCATATAGCCCTAGGTTCTTGCATGTCCCGTCCTCAAGCCTCTAACAATCCTTAACTTGTAAAGCTGTATTTCATAGCTTATTAAAAGTACTGGTTATGATTATAAAGTTTTATATGAAATCAGACTATATGGAAAGCCGTATTCTCCCATTTGAGCAAAACTGGGCTTTAAGAACTTGAGGGGTTGTTTTTTTTCCTGATCTTGCAACCCTTAGAGATGCATGTGGTGGGAATATGAGAGAGGGATTTTTCCTCTCCTGGGCTTTTCAGCAACACAGGCACTCAGAGCTTCTTAGGTAAAGGTAAAGCTTTTCCCCTGACATTAAGTCCAGTTGTGTCTAAGCCGAAGAGTTGGCGTTGTCCACAGACACCCCCAAGGTCACGTGGCCAGCATGACTGCATGGAGCGCCGTTACCTTCCTGCCTGAGTGGTACCTATTGATCTCACATTTGCATGTTTTTGAACTGCTAGGTTGGCAGAAGCTGGGGCTAACAGTGGGAGCTCACGCCACTTCCTGGATTCAAACCTGCTACCTTTTGGTCAGCAAGTTCAGCAGCTCAGCGCTTTAACCCACTGCGCCACTGAGGGCCCTCAGAGCACCTTACAAAATGTTAATTTGCCCTCAGTCTCACAAACTACATAAAAATAAACAAGATGTAATAAATAGAACACGATGGAGCTGTGTCTTGACTGGCTGCCTCCCACTCAGCAGCCAGCAGAATGGCAGTGGACGATAGTGGGAGTGGCTCTAACAGCAGCTGGACAAGACATGGTGGCGTTTTGTCTGGTTGGCTGCCTCCCACACAGTGGCTAGAAGATTTCAGAGAAGGCTAGAGCAGGTAGAAGCTTTCAAAAATCAGAAAGGCTTTTATCAGCTGATTGCTGAAGAAGTTGCTACCAGTCAAGTACTGCATTTTCCGTAATGATGAATTTTTAAACCATTTATTTTTACTTGTGTATTTTCCTTTGTTGAAGCCGTTCACTTACCTATTAAGAATTGATATTTTGTATTGCTTTTGATTGTTTCCTAATTAGTATATAGGGTGAGCCACTTGAACGCCATTGTTGTGAGAAAAGAATATAAATCTCTCCCACACACACAAACACACACTTTTGAATAGTCAGGCCTCTGCCATCACACTCTTCTTGTTTTGGCACTGGTTTTTGTTTGTTTGTTTACTATTTTGACCTATTTTAAGTTAGTGCCATTCATATTTTTGGTCATCATGGCCTATCATTTTGGTATAAGGGAAGCTCAACATGCTCTGGGAACTTAATCCAGATAGAAGTTGGGTAGGATTGGGGAAAATATGAGTTTTAAAGGCCACTTTAGTGTATTTATTGTATTTTTAATTCTGCTTTTAACATACGGTTACTATTTAATAGTTTTTTAATCTTTGTATTGAACTTTTTAAACTTGTCTAGTGTGGAGTATTACCTGCCTTGAGTCCCCACAGGAAGAAAGGCAGGGTATAAATAAAGATTATGGTGATAATAATAATAATAATAATAATAATAATAATAATAATAATAAAAACCATTGGTTCAGCAATAAGCATTTTGTATGTCACATTCTCTCAATTGTGATTAGAAATGATGACGTGACAACATTTTAAGTCCTAAAAAATAACAACTGTATTACAGGGCAACTATTTAAGGTAATTAGGACTGTCCACTCAGTTGAGCCAGAAAGCAAAGTAACTAGTCAGTTATTTCAAATTTGGTGTTACATGCACAAACTTGACAGTAGTTTGCTGATCTCATTCTTCATTATTTTGAAATTTCCAAGTCTTTAAGGGTAGCCCCATTTATAATACTTTATAGGAGCCAGCTAGCAAGTTATTACTATAGTTGAATTACTATTTGCCTATAATGGTTTTAGTGGTAGACTGGCTGGCTATGTGCATTATGTGCCCCCAAACGAAACGGAAGCTCCATCACTTGCTCCTTGTGAGAAGGGAAGGGAGCACATGGGTGCTGTCTCCCTTGGGCTGAGCCAGCAGAAGAGGCATTCTCAGCCTGGGCTCCTGTTAGGCTTCAAGAGTCAATGGGAATCTCCTACTATCAGGAGCCAGTGTATTATTACTCAGTGCCACAACATGTGTGTGGCATTGAGCAATAGTATCAATCCAAGGATTCCCTGCCTAGTGAAAGAAATGCAAGCTCAAAAATTACGTTATTTTTTTTTACATAAGATCTCATTATGGCGTTTTGTCTTTATATCACAAAAAATGTGTAAACATTAGTATGATGATTAATAAATGCTAGTTATTTAAAAACCAGTTTTATTTCTTTGTGGATGGTTGGTGGGGCTGCTTGATCTCCACGATGTATCACATTTGTGTCTTAGTGGTCTTAAAGGTTGGGGACCACTGAGAGGCGCTCAACAGGAGTGTCCACTCATATTCTTGTTTTTGCAATAGAACCAATAGCAGAATTAATAAGAACAAATGTTGAAATTCAATTCATAAAAAATAAAAATATTGCACATAAAGTAAGTTTATTTAATTGTTTAATCAAAAACAATGTTTAGGACAGCTACTATTAATTTTGGAAAAGTTTCAAAATAAATTACTATAAATAAAAAATATTAATTAAATATGTCCAGGAAATACCAATTAAATCTACAAGGAATGTCCAATTTATCAATTTGTTTTTTCAGGATTTAGATATTCAGGAATACAGTACATTAACAAAAAAAATGGTGCATGTTGTGTATAGAAACTACTAGCCAATACATTCCTATATTCAACTAACCCAAAATTATTCAAATCAACTAACCCCAAATTCCTCTAAACAGACAATATCCTAAAGCAGACAAGTATGAGGCATGGAGGCACGAGGCATGCAAGTTGCTCCCTTGAAACCCTAAAGCCTGTACTCTCTGGCTAGTGCTCCCTCTGGCACTAGCCCTTAACTAAAAAATGCTGCTCTTATGTCAAAGCAAAACCATCAATGGTTCTTAGCTCAAAACACTCTTAAGTGGAATGCTTTTAAGTAAAGGTTCCACTGTATATTATACTGGGTTTTCAGATTTCTAGGAACTCTTGCACAAATAGACAAATAGTACATGTTTAGGACAGGATAGACTACTGCAACACACACTATGTGGGGTTGCTTTTGAAGACTGCTCAGAAGCTTCAAATAGTTTAACGAGAGGCAGCCAGGTTAATAACTGGGGCAGCATACAGGGAGCACACAACTCCCATGTTATTCCAGCTCCACTGGCTACCAGTTTGCCACCGGGCACAATTCAAAGTGCTGGCTTTGGCCTATAAAGCCCTAAACAGCCCCGGCCTGATTTACGTATCCGAATGCACCCCCCTCTATGAACCATGACCGAGATTAAGATCCTGCAGGGATGCCCTGCTCTCCATTCCACCATTGTCACAGATGTGATTGGTGGGGACGAGAGAGAGGGCCTTCTCGGTGATTGCTCCCCAGCTATGGAACTCCCTTCCTGGTGAGATCAGATCAGCCCCCTCCCTCCTGTCCTTCAGAAGGATGGTAAAAACTTGGCTGTGGGACCAAGCTTTTGGAACAGGGCAATAAGGCAGCCATAGGAAACTTACCAGGCCAATTTAGATTTGACGCAGATGGCCAAACAGTGTATTTTAATATTTTGATAAAATGTTTTTAATGTTTATGTATACTCATATGAATTCTTGTCCCGGCATTGAATGTTTGCCATATATATGCTGTGCTCTTCGGGGTGAGAAGGGCAGAATATAAATGTTATAAATAAATAAATAAATAAATAAATAAATAAATAAATAAATAAATATTCAACAAAAAATTAAAAAATGGTCAACACTGCAGTTAATGGGCAGAATAGTAGCTGTCAAAGGTCATATTTTACCTAAATTTATATTCCTATTTCATGTCATCTCTATATCAATAGGAAAGGCAAAGCTGGAGAGAAATCTTTTAAGATTTATCAATAGTACCAAATATCTGTTATTTTGATGGTTAGCATTACCCAATGTAGAATTTTCCTAAAATG